GGGCGGGTGCGGGCGGGCAAGCTGCCCGGCCACCCACAACGGGCCGCCTCCCTGAAACCCGAACCACTTCTGGGAAAACTCAAGGACGCCAGGATTCTCCTCAGTGGCAGCCCGTCCGCTGGAACCATTGATTCTGAACCAAAGGCACACTCAAACAGGCTCCACGGAGCAGGAATTGCCTACCCCGACTCCAGAGGGAGAAGATGAATGAACGCTGTTTAACCATTAGCCCCACCCCCTACAACTGTCTGCCTCTGGTTCTCAACCTACCTAAGTATGATTTTGCCTCTAGCACTTAGCGATGCCAGGAGTCACTTTCACTCACCCTGATGAGATACTGGAATTGACCAGCTGAGGCCAGAGATGCAGCTAAGCCAGCACCTTCAATGTACAGGCCAGCCCCACCACCACCACGATCACCATGATCACCATCACCACCATCATCACCACCATCATCACCATCATCATCACCATCACTACCATCATCACCACCATCATCATCACCATCATCACCATCATCATCACCACCACCACCCCTCCCAACATAAACAGAGAATCCACAGATACAAATGCCAATGGTGTCGAAGTCTGGAAAACCCTGTTCTAGAGAGGCCCATGCAGCCAGGACTGCCTCCCCAGACTGTCTCCTAAAGTGTGGCTGGGAGCTAGGAGACGACTCAGCCGGTAAAGTGTTTGCCATACAAGCATAAGGACCATTCAGATCCCCAGCACCCCATAGAAAGTCAGGCAGTGTAGCAGGCATTTGGAATCCTTGCTTCAAGGGTGAGTTCCAGGGTCAGAGAGACCCCATCTCAAAAATGAAGTGGGGGCCAGTGAGATGTCTCTGCAGTAAAGCTCGCCTGCTGCCAAGTCCAGCAACCAAAGTATGAGTCCCAGGACCCACTGTGGAGAACCAGCCTCTTCAAGTTGTCCTCCGACCTCCACATACACACTGAGCTGTGGTACATGCCCACAAACTGAAATGAAATGCTTTTAAAAGACAGAAAAAAATCGAAGTGGCGAGTAATTGTAAAAGACGTTTAATGATGATCTCTGGCCCTGACATGCACCCACATACACAGGTGTTACACACACACACACACACACACACACACACACACACACACACACGCATGGGGGGTATGGATGAATATGAATGCTCCTGAATGATCCAGATTGGCTCTTAACCCTCCATCCACTGCATTCCAGTCCACAGTAATAGTTAGCATCTGTGAGTGGCTCTGAACTCAGGCTCTGACACCCTGTGGATCTCACCTGCACTACTGACCCCCCAGGTAGGGAGGCTGAATACATAGGCACTCAGGGATGGCTTCCGGAGTGGGGAAGAAACCATGGAGACTGAGCGATGGGCAGAGCCACAAGTAGCAGAAGTCAAGGCAAGGGCATGTCCACAGACCAGAACAGGGTAAGCAGGGATACCGAGAGAAGTCAGTCCAGTGCAGGCAACCTTCTACAGACTGGCTGTCCCACAGGAGAGCTGACTGCAGGGCAGTCAGGATTTTAGAGAGCCCAGAAAGGGAGCAGGATGGTACACACATACAAGGTGTCCAAGTACCCATGTAGGCACTGATTTATATTTTCTGGAGTTCAGTTTTCTTAGATTTTGAGAGCAGCGTGACAAAAGACAACGGGACTTTCCCCTAAGCCCCCAGCAAATGAGGGGCCTTGGGGAACTGCCAGGGCAAGTGCAGAGGCCTGGAGGACTCTGGGTGCCAGGAAGAGCAGCAGAGGACTACCAAAGCCTACCTAAATAGGACTCAGTCAAAGGGTTCCAGGTCTTAAAACTTCACCCAGCTGTAGGGTCTGAGAGAGTCACATCTGCATGGAAAGCCTTTGAGCGCTGAAGAGGGTACCTACTCCTTCCAAAAGGCATCCCCACCTGATAGGCAGGCAGCCTGGAATGGTCACAGATAGGACAGAGAGCAGGGGACATCCTCTCTGGGGAGAGACTTCCATGACTCTGTAGCCCTCGTCCTTGGCCTCTCCCACTACAATGGACCAGAAGACTAAAGGTTACTCTCTCATACACACCTCCACCCACAAGGAAATGGACAAGAAACACCTCTGTGTCCGCGGTCAGCCTATGAGGATGTCTGGGGCAGTGGGCACCTGATAAGACCCTTCTTAGCCCCTGGCTCCTGTTCTTCTGCTCCGCTCCAACCTGAAGCCCTCCACACTGAACCCCAAGAACAGAAACAGATGTGAGAGAATAGAATGTGCAGATGTTCTCTGCAATGCAAGAGCCAAATGCCAGCCTCCCAAGGACAGCCGGAGCCAGGCAGATCTGGAAAGACCTCCAGAAGTACCCACCAATGGCACACTGCCTTCCTTCTCAGCCTGTGCTGTCCAAAACGGCAGCAACCAGACAAACATGAGTACAGAGAACTGAAGTTAAAGTAATTGTTTTAATAGTAATTATATGTTGAAATGACCAATCTTTATGTTAACTTCATTCCATCAATTATGAAAAAGAGCAAGTCTCTACCCCCAAATTCATATGGCAAAGTCATAACCACCATTAATGTAATGGTCTTCGAAAGTGGGACCTCTAGGAAGCAGTAAAGGTTAGATCAGACCATGACGGTGGGATCCTCATGTAGGATTAGCTCTCTTAGGGCAGACCTGACCATCCCAGCACCCCAGTCTGGCTTCTAGAACCATGTAAAAATAAGCACTGCTGATTTTTAAATATAAATGTATATATGTATATACATATATGTAAACATATATCTATATATGGCTATTTTAACTTTATTTGAGTTAGGTCTGCAGTTATCTACGCACCATGTGTATGCATGATGCTCTAAGAGGCCAGAGAACATGGATCCTCCTGGAAGTGGAGTTCCAGGTGATTGTCATGAGTGACCGTGTGGGTGTCAGGATTGGGACCTGGGTCCTCTACAACAGCAGCAAGCACTCTTAACCACCTGGCCACCTCTCCAGCCCCAATACTGCTGCCTGGCTCATGCAGTCCTGCGGTACGAGGCCAGCCAAAACACACTAAGACACAGCTATTCTCTTTCCTTTTACTGACATGACCACCGGGGATTCTAAAGCTAAATACATCTGCCCATGTTCCTATGTTCCTGTTGGCAGCACGAGGGTAGATCTCTTCTTTTTACCACGGGGTTGAGTAATTCTGAAGATGAGCCAGGAACATGAAGAAGAGACCATTTTGAAGCCAGAGGCCAGGTATGCCCCAACCAGGAACCAGGGAAGCGTTCCTCCAGTTCCTCAAGAGCAGTGGCCACCTTGAGGTGTGACAAGAAACAACAGGTGACTCTACTTTGCCCGGGGCAGGAAGCACAGGTTCTGAACAGACGCCTGTCAGTGTATCCTGCTATATACTCCCAAACAGCGCAAAGAAGAAGCGGACACAGTACCCGGGACCACTCTCACCCTGTGCCCAGATGGGAGGCAACTGGTGAAGCCAAACTGGAACAAACTGGGGCAGTGATACCCAGGTTCCTAGTCTGAGGCGTACTGTCCTGAGAGCACCACTTTCAACAAGCCTGGACTAGAAAGGGACAGGCAGATCAGGAGTAGACATCCAGCAGCTAGGGGGCTGCCATGTACCCTTGGATCAGCCACTGCTGCCCTCCCCAAAGCAGGCCAAAGCTTTCCATCACTCCCAAGCCCTCATGCTTGGGGAAAACGTCAAAAGCAACATCACTTCAGTGAATGGCAAAAAGAAACAATGTTCAACCTGAGCACCTCTTGGCCTGGACCACTCCAGGCCAGCATCGAAACCGCTTCCCAACCGTAGCCAAGAAGTGGTCTCTGCCCTCTAGCCCGCGCACTCACACTCCACCTCACCCAGATTCCTGCAAAAACTCTCAGGGTCGGAATTAATTGCAGCCTCACTACCTTGCAATAGAAGGGAGCAGATTGAGGGTGGGGATCCCAGTGGGGCGTGCAATGGCCATCTGGGATACCCACCCCCGCAGTAACATGGGGGATCCCAGCCCCTCCCCTGCACTCCGGGCCCCGCCCCTCGCGGGTTTACCAGACTCCGCGCTGCTGCCACCTCGGGCGGCAGGGGACCCGAGCTGCATGTGTAATGGGGGTTGGGAACAAAGACGCGCAGGACCCAGAGCCCCGGCCACCGGGCACCAGCCGTCCCAATCGCCACGATCTTTGCTCTCGAGTCTCAATGCCCGACTGTCCACGTTTCCCAGGACTGCCCCAAGCCCGTCCTGGAGCTCCTGACAGAGTTAGGCACACTTCAGCACCACCGGGACAGAGAGATCCGTGCCTGAGCTTTAGGCGCTTTCCCAACACAACTTCGCGCACACACACCCACACGTCCCAGTCCCTTAGCAGACGCGCAGCAGTTACCCACATCCCGCAGCCGCCTGCGGGCTGAGCGCGGGTCACTCACGCCCGCCACGTGCCGGCTGGAGCGATCTGAGACCTGTTGGTTCGCCTCCTCAACCTCCTCTCCACTCCCAGTAGCCCAAAACAAAAGCGGTCCCACGAGGGCGCATCTGTAGCCCGCTGCAAGGAAAGCGGGTGCAGGTAGGAGCCACTGGCGCGAGGATCGCGACGCAGAGTGCCTGGACGGAGTGCAGAGGGCTCCGAACGGGCTGTGTGGAAAGCCGTCTGCTTTGCTTTGCGACACCTATGGCTCTCAGGGGCGCGCAGCCCCATCCCAGCCACCCCCCGATTGAGATGCCCGCCCAGCCTGGCCGCCTTCCCCAAGCTCAGGTTTTCCTCGCTCAGTTCCTGGGGTCCGCGAGTCGCAGAACCTGAACTCCGACCCTGACGCTCCAGGTTCCCCCATCACCGAGCGCCTCCGCGAGCCAGAATCGCGCAGAGGAACCGCACGGGCGAGCTTGTCTTTACGATCTCAAGCAGAGCGCCCCGCACGACCCCGATCCCAGGCAGGTGGCGCGGCGCCGAGGCCGCGGGGCCGCCCTTTGTTGGTAAACACCGCGCGCCCCGGGTCCCCGCACCCCTACGCCGCGCCGGGTCCTTACCGGCGCACAGCGATCCCCAGAGAAGGGCGAGGGCCGCCCAGGGCGCCGTCATGTTCCGCGGCGCCGCCCCGCGGACA